AAAAAAAAAAAAAAAAAAAAAAAAAAAAAAAAAAGATACTGACAAACAGAATGCAGCAAATCATTAAAAAGATCATACTCCATGACCATTTATTCCAGGGATTCAGGGATAGTTCAACATATACAACTCAATAAATGCAATATACCACATTAAAAGAAGCAAGGAGAAAAAACACATGATCATCTCAATAGATGCAGAAAAACCATTTGACAAAATCCAACATCCACTGATGATGAAAACTTTGAAGAAAATAGGTAAAGAAAATCCTGATTTCTATCTGATAAATGCCACCTATAACAAGCCAATGGCCAAATCATACTAAATGAAGAGAAGCTGAAAGATTCCCTCTAAAATCAAAAACAAGAAAAGGATGTCCACTATCCTGTTCAATATAGCTTTCAAAACATTAGCTAGATCAATTAGACAAGAAGAAGAAATAAAAGGGATACAGATAGGAAAGGAAGAAGTCAAATTATCATTATTTGCAGACAACATGATCCTCTTTATAGAAGACCTCAAAACCTCCACCAAAAGACTCCTAGAATTAATAACCAAATTCAGGAGCATAGCAGGATGCAAAGTCAGCAAAGATCAATTCATTCCTGCATACTGACAAGAAACTCATGGTGAGAAAATTAGGGGAAAAGTAACTTTTACAACAGATTTAGAAAAAGCGAAATACTTAGCAATAAACCTAACCGTTATGGCCTGTATCTAGATGTTCATGAGCTCACGGAGGAGGTGGGGGGATAGGCACGATGACACACACTTTTCCAGAGGTGGCTGGATCTAGGTTGTGTGAATGTGATTAAAGATATGCAAATATGGATTAAGGGTGTGATAACTAAATTAGTCCAGGGATTGGTTTAGCATAGTTCTGGGTGTGGGTGATGGGAAGGCCCACCCTGGGGTGGGTGGCACCACCAAAAGGTTTGTAGCCTGGATGAAATGAAAAAGAAAGGAGGCTTGCAGCATGCTACCTGCTCTGCCATGGACTGTGTCATGTCCCTCTGTCATGCCTGCCTTGGAGCTAATCGACTATGGACTGAACCCTCTATAAACTGTGAGCTAAAAAAACCTTCCTCCTTTTAACTTGCAGGTGCTCAGAACTGCTTCAATAATGAGAAAAGTAACTAACACTAACCAAGGAAGTGAAAGACCTTTACAATAAAAACTATATAATTCTGAAATAAGAGATAGGAGAAGATATTAGAAAATTGAAAGCTATCCCGTTTCTGGATAGGCAGAACTAATACAGTCAAAATGGCCATACTCCCAAAACTGTTATACAGATTTACTGCAATTCCAATCAAAATACTAATAGCATTTCTCACAGAACTAGAGGAAACAATCTTAAAATTCATATGGAACTGCAAGAGATCTAGAATAGCAAAAGCAAATGTTAGCAACAAGAGCAATGCAAGGAGCATCACAATCCCAGGATTAAAATTACACTACAAGACTCTAGTGATAAAAACAGCATGTTACTGGGGGGAAAAAACCACATGTAGATCAGTGGAACAGAATGGAGGATGCAGAAACAACTTCAGGCAGACTCAGCTAATTTATTTTTGACAAAGGGGCCAAATATAGTCACTGGAGGAAAGACATCCTCTTTAACAAATTATGTAGGAAAACTGGCCATCCACATGCCAAAAATTAAACCTAGACCCATATCTGTCATCAGGCACTAAACTAAAATCAAAACGGATCAAAGATCTAAATATTAAAACAGAAACACTTATTCTGCTGGAAGACAAAATAGGAAAAAACTCTTGAAGACATAGGTGTAGGCAGAAACTTTAGTCTGAACAGAACCCTGGTTGCACAAGACATAATACCAAGAATCAATAAATGGGATCACATCAAATTAAAAAGCTTCTGTAAAGCAAAGGAAACCATCAACAGAATGAAGAGACAACCTACAGAGTGGAAAAAATATTTTTGTCAGCTACTCCTCAAAGGACTAACATTCTAGATTGTATAAAGAACTCAAAAAATTACATTGCACCAAATTTAAAGACCCAATCAAAAAAGGGCACCTGAAAAAAATAGATATTTCTCAAATGAAGAAGTACAAAAGGCCAATAAATATATGAAAAAAAATGTTCAACATTGCTGGCTATTAAAAAATGAGAATTAAAACAAAGACAAGATTCTGTCTTACTCCAGAAAAATGGTTATCATAATGAAATTAACCAATAAAAATGCTGGAGAGGCTGTGGGGAAAAAGGAATCCTTCACCATTGTTGGTTGGAGTATAAACTGGTATAACCACTATGGAAATCAACATGTACATTCTCAAAAAAAAAACTAAAACTAGGGCTGGGGATTTAACTCAGTGGTGCTGTGCCTGCCTGGCAAGTGTAAGGTCCTTAGTTCAATTCCAAGTACTGGAAAAACAAAACAAATAAACAAACAAAACCCCCCAAAGACCTAAAACTAGAAATTCCATTTGATCCAGCTATTCCCCTTTTCGGTATCTACACAAAAGAATTAGACATCATACTGATAGGGAAAACTTT